CCTTTCTCCCCCTGCGGAACTGGTTTCAGTATGCAAGCCATTTCAAATGCAGTTATATCCTAGAGTATAGTTTCTCTCTTGGTTTATGACTTGTCTCAGGCTGAAGAAATGTTTTTAAGAGTATCAAGGGTTCCAATGGGCGTCAATCATTTTATAGATCACTTTTTGGGACTCTGAAACTTTTGATAGGTGTTTAATGGGCCTTATATATTGATAGTGGTCAGATAGCAGGGAAAAAACCCACCAGCAAACAAAGCCAGGGTGTGGAGTTTTTTAACCTATTTTACAATTTTATTGCACTGCCGTCCATGGAAACTGCTGATATATCTGCCTCAGATACAAATGAAACATTCCTTCAGACAGCTGAATGTTTCCTGCCTGCCAGCTCAGAAATCAAACTTTGCATGATATTACAGAAATTCATCATTTTTTTCCTTTGGCGAAATGACTTAGTGGTGGAATTGTTATAGTCAGCTGTACTTTCCTATTTTGATCATCTTGTCACTTTCTGATTCGGCTGATAAAAGGATGTGTATTTTGTCAAGGGAAATATATAGACACATCACTCTTGTTGACAGCAGAAGAGGGTCACAAAAATTTCATCAAGGGAAGCTTCTACATTACAGCTTCTGTCTTACAAAAAATTTATGCCTCAGAATAAGTTTCTGTCTAGAACTAATTCCATTAATCTCAAGGAGAGTACTTACATGGTGTCTCCCCTAAGTATGTGAGTTTTCTAATTACCCAAAAATGTGCTTGTCTTCTTATGTGAGTACATTACTGTTTAAAACAATACATATACAAATCTTTGGACCTGTGGTCTACATTTTGCTCATGAAAGCTCATAGGTAAAACTGGTCTCATTTTCAGACTTGCTAAATGTTGACAGCAGTTAACTGGAGGCAGTGATGCTTAGGAAGTTAGGTTAATATTTCTTAAAAAGCTGTATATACTCTTGGGTGCTGCACCTTTGCCAACTTCCTTGAGAAATGTTAGCCACAACATCTCAAAGAGTATTTTGAAAAATGACAGGTTTTGCTGTAATTTTAACTTTGATACCTAGTTTCAGGGGAAAACTCTTCTTGATAAAAAGAAAGAAAAGCAGTTCGGATATTTCATTTCATTATTCTCACTGTCTGTTTTGCTTTTATAAGCAAATTCTGTTTCATCTTTTCCATTGTTAGAGAGAAGGTTATTGCCAAATTCAACACCGATTTATTTTGGTTTCATTTTGTTAAATAAGACCAAGGTAAAGGGATGATGAAGGAGATTCATAAGGATTGAATTCTGAGAACTGAAAGGCAAGAGAGTAACAATTCTGGTTTTCATTGTTACTTTGGGGTCTATTTGTGCTGAACTGGTGTGATCCATCCAGATCTGCATCACAAAAACAGAAAGCAAGAGAGAATCAGAAATGACAGGAAGACTTTAACTGCCCTCTTGTCTCTGGACGTTATCCACCCGTGGTTAGATGTATGTTGTCAGAATAATGTGAGTAATTTCAGATTAGTGCAGCTCTTGTTCTGACTTCGTGAGTGAATTGAGAACTTTGCCTTTACAAGAGTTAGACTAGAACTGTGGTCTAGAATTAGTCTAGTGTTGTAGAACAGTAAATTCACACAGAGCCTGAATCTGTCTTACCTTAAAATCTCTTTACAGTGTTCTGGCAGTATAAAAAGGACTGAAGTTGCTCATAAATTATTTTTTTTTCTTTTGCTTCATAGCAGCTAGTCTCTGTGTAAAGAGAGTCTCTCTATGTAAAAAGGTAGCACAGGTGATAATTTTGGTTATACATTTTTAGCAATTAACCTGATGAAAAATCTTTTAAGAGCTGAGCTGAGGGTACTCTCAGGTCTTTTTGCATCATTAAGAAAATATGTTTCAGAGTAGAGAACAAGTAGAATTGTAAAAAAAAAAAAAAACACCACAGAAAACCCCAACCCTAAAATGCTTTAGAGAAGAGATAGGAAAGTAGAAATTTATAGGGAAAAAATGTACAATTAGAGATGGAAAGCCAATACCATGAGACATTGGTTTTGGCAGTTTTTAGAATATTTGGCGTAGCATGTTCAACAAATCGTGTTGTGAAAAACAGCTTCTCACCATGTTGGTTTTGCAAGTATCTTCGTATCATGAAAATAATTGTATTCACGAAGTCTGCTGTTACAGATACATATTTTTATAGATGATAGGAAAATTGAACAATGTATCTGAAATCTTTAAAAAGACAGCATAAAAAGGAAAAAAACCTCTCGTAGTTAATATTTTAGAAACCTGACAATATTTTGAGATTCCAGCTCACATTTTTTTTGAAATGCGGAGTTGAATGGTGCACCAGTCCTAAGAGTGTCTGGATCTTTCTGGAAGCTGTCTGGAGTAAACTCCAGAGAAGGATTTTTGGCTGGAGGTGGGGGGCAGCAGACTCAGTGCCATATCATTGCTTACTGATGGAGTTTTGCCAGGACAGCACCTGGCTCAATTTTTGGCTGGTGGTGTTTAATAAGATCTTGTGACTATTTGGTCATGTGAATTTAACAGAAGGAGTAGCATACAGCCTGAAAAGGCTTTCATGTTTTCATGTTTTCTTACCTCTCTAGTTGTGGATGTGATACTGACCTCTCATATTTTGTCATTTTCAGCATTCATACATCTGATTTCTAAAAGCCCATCCCCGATATGTGGAACTGAAAGTTATAGTGGAGTCCTGTTTTGATTGCCCCAACAGAATACGATGTATCTGAGTTTATTCATTCTTATCAGGTTATGTCTGGTACTGGCAAATCTTTTGTGTTGTTTTCTCACTTTTGTACTGCAGTGCCTGCAAATTCAGAACATAGACTGGGTGAAATCTTTTTTTTCTACTGAAGAAAAAATTTATAACTCCTCTTGTACATCTCTGACATAGTCAGAAATTGAGTATCTAGCATAATAAGCACAAAATGCAAATATAATTAGTATTTCTTAATAACATTGTACTGTATCACAGTGTTGCTTTGGCTTTCTCTGCAATTCGACTTCTTCAAGATGCAAAAATTTTTAGGATAGAAGTGACACATTTTCAAGAAGAAAAGGATGAACGGCAGTGTTTGGTATGTGTTGATATTTTTTATAAACTTGGTTTTTAGAATATAAAGTCTTGTATTAAGTGTTGAATGCTTTTCAGAATACTACAACATAGCAGTCAGCTGTATTACATGGTTACTGTTAAACTGGGGAGAACATGGTGTATGACATGGTTCAGATACCTGTTTGCCTATAGTATATTAAATATGTCTACAATTATAATTTTAATTTGTATGTGATTAGGAATATTTATGTGGTTAGTTTTTATTTGTACACTCTCAGATGTTAACACTGAAAATCTCCTTTTGTTTAAAAAACCCCAAACAAACAGGAAGTTGAAAAAAACCCTATCAGCTGAAAATTTTGTATTGTTAAGGTATTTTATGTTTTTTGATTGAGAACCTACTTCAGAGTATCCTCTTCCAAAGAGCCAGACCAACCCATTCACATCGTTTAGCAAGATTTCAGATGACTTCTGTTGTCACATCAGAACACTGACCCATACTTTGGAAAGCCAGTGTACAAACCCCACTGATAATAAACCACACATTCCCTCCCGAGCATGCAGTAAATCAAACCGACTCACATGGAGAGAGCAACTGAGCTGCGAAACCAGATTTTGTAATACACACAACGAGACTGGACTCTCTTGCATGCAGTGAAATTATTCTCTTTGTTGCATATCAGGGTTTTCTGTCCTTCTGCACTTGCTCCTACAGTTTGTTAGGGCAGTCCTGTAGCCAGTAATAGAGTTGTGCCTCTTTTTTTTCCTCATTTGCATTAATGCAAGTCTTTCATGATGCTTTTTTTTGTGTAAGCAAAACACAAGTGGTGCAGTGTCCATTTATTGCTTGCTGAAACAAATCTTTAGAATATGGATTGTAGAATTTTAGTAATAGAAAGACTGGTTATAATACGTGAAGATGGCTCACGGATTTGAGCTGAGAATTCTCCCAAACACTTCCAGTACCATATTATTACATTAATATTTGTTTCTATTCACCAGAAATAATAAAAACTAGATATCAAAACTTAAAATTGTCTTCCTAAATACTAGTGAGGTACCAGAACTTGATATAAATCCTGGTCTATAGTTAGACTTCTGCGTACCTTAATGTTTTGTGTAAAGTTCCTGTTTGAGAGGAATTAAGTCCAAACTGTTAAAGTTATTCTCCACGATACATATAGTATATGGATATTTTTCTGGATTCTCCCATAAAAACTGGTTTAATTTTCATTTTTTACAGTGCTATCTTTTCTATAGATTAAAAGTTAAATAATAAATGACCTCCTGTTATTAAAAAATATGTACCTACCCTTCAGATAAAATTCCAGTTATAATTATTTTATTATTTGTAATATATATGCATTATTTTGGTTTATTTTAGATTGATGCTGCCCTCTTGCTTTGTTTGTATTGAAGTAGTTTGCTCAGAAAGTAACATTTCTCTTGCTTTTGGACATTCTTAGGACTCTTACACCGAAGATGTCCAACTGCCTCACAGTGTCACAGCACGAGATCGTATGAACGTGCATCTATGGCTAAGGTGTCGCACAATGTTAGTGACTGCACTAGTAACACAGATACATGGTGCTGGAGACATGAGAGGTATTACCTTTTTTGGTTTAAAGTTTTGGATTATGTGGGCCTGTTCAGGCACAGTTCTTATAAATAAGAAACACTAATTATGGGGCTGTATTCGCAATGAGCAATCATTTGAATTAAATTCATCCAATGCAATAGGAGTACAATCTCTTCGTAGAACACGTAAACACAAAGCATATTGATTTTCGTCTAATGATCATTATGTTTTACTAACTCACTTGTGTGTGATAAAGTTTCAAAAGTTCTAGTGTAATTAAGTATGGCTGTTTTATAAAACACTGTTGCTACATACTTCTAGTTTTAAAAGTCTCAAATTCTTTTTTTGCATTGTATATCTCCATTACATGAAATGGTACTGTATATCTCCTAAAAATATTCCAAATTCTTTCTTTTTTCCAAAGAATTTAAGTGAGATACTACAAAATACATTTACTGCTGTTTGATTATGAATAAAATATTTTTCATTCCTTAATTCTACAAACTTAGTACAAATGCTGGTGCTCACTTAAGTATCAAAATCATAAACTAAGTCTGTAGCCGAACTCTTAATTAATATTTTCTGGATAATTTCTGTGAAGGCTGCAACTATTTTGGAATGATAACAAAGATCAGATTTTTTAATATGTAGGATATATATTTTATGACATCTGATTTACAAAATCTAATTATTTATGCTGATGGCTTACATATAAAGAATGTATTTGGATGAACTTAAACCAAGTGCAGTTTAAAAACTAAGTTGTTTTTCTTTCTTTTTAAAGTAAATTTGGCATGGAGTCACAGAATCTATAGTGTCAGATTTTCTGTGACTTTAGTGTGGAAGTGACTTCTAAAAACTGGTAGAAGATACCATTAAGTCTTTTCTTTTGTATTTTTACTATTCATGTATTCTCTTCTTTTAGAAAATGATCTGGCTGAACGCAGAAGTGTGATAAAAGAAGCAATACTAGAGGCAGAAGCCTTTGGTGATATTGAGACTCAGGCTGAAATGATGGTGCAAGCTGCTATTCTTGACCTGCAAGAAAAAAGTCCCGTGGCAGGCATTAAACTTCTTCTGGAGGTTTGAGCACAGAGTAGAAACTGCTCGCTTTTCTTTGATGAATTTTTCACGTAGTCAGAATAGCTGATGCCAGCTTTAAATAACCTTGAAATAGTGCCTCTAAAACAGATCTTTTTTCACTCTCTGTGATTTGTCCTCATAAATAGACAGCAAAAGTAGTAACTATTTTGGTTTATGTTGTCTATGTCCAAACAGAATATCATCAGTTTACTCCAAGAGGATACATTCATTTCTCCTCCAGCTTCTTTGACTCTTGTGAAGAGTATGCTCCTTCTGGCAGACATTCAAACACTGCGAAGAGCAGAGGATACAAAACATTGCTCTTCTACAGTGGAACCATTAAACTTACTAACCTCGGCACATGAGCTTACCATTAAAGAAGTACGTGTATGTTGGTGATTTACACAGCATTTGAAAATCCTTCCAACAATCTTAATTTTCTATTCGGGAAGCTGTTTTAACAATTTATTAAAAAGGGCTCTTCCTATTAACCAATTGCTTAAATTATCACTAGATTACATAAAGTATTCATCTTGCAAAATTTATTTATGCATACTCATCGTGGATACCTCTGTATGTAGTCGGTTTTTTCACACAATTTAAAAATCTTGAGTACTTGCAAAATATACATCCATATGTGAAAATTGAAATGTGTAGTTTGGAATGAGGGATGTGTTTGTACTCAGCACCTCAGGAAGGATGTAAAATCTCATAAAATTCCTAACTCTTGAGTACCCAAGGTTAAGAATTTAGCTTTTTATCTTATCTTAGAATAATTTGAATTAGAAAACCTATATAAATTAGCATACTGTTTATGGTGGTTTAGATTGACAGATTGTTACAATCAGTATGAAGAAATAATTTCTAGGTAAAAATGTAAATATGCAATAAAAAATAAAACATGAAATCTGTGAGAGGAATGTATAGTGATAAGCTACTTACCTATTTGGTAATCCAAAAATAGATATGCACTTCTGCACCTGCTCTTGATACAGTTTATCAGGAAAAGCTTTTGGATTAAATTCTCTCCTCATATTTCCTCATACAGAAGTTTAATGCATTGATATGTTTGTTCCCCCAAGTAATACAGAATCATATGAATCACTTCAGATTCAGACTTCCACTTGTGACACTTGCTAGACTTTAAGAGACTTCACACATTACAGCATGTCCCCATCGCCCTACTTCCTATTTGACTGGTCCATACATGTTATTTTATTTTTCTTTTCTGGCCTTTGTAAGATGTCAGATTTCTCTGTAGAAATGACAGCTTCTTTCTAGGGCTTGGGTTACTTGGGAGATCTTTTTCTTAAAGACTGAGAGCTTACTTTTTGAAATGAAAGCATAACATTAATAAATTCGATCAAGGATTCATTGAAATTGTTCCTTTGCTACCAAACTCTGCCATAAAGAAAACAAGTACAAACTGAAGTAAAGGAATTCAGAAGTATCAAGCCCTTTTTTTAGTGTTCTTTTACGAGACATGTTTGAATTCCAGGGTTTTGAAATACCTAAATGACATTTTTCCAACTGCTATTTAACTTGCTGTCCACAACTTGATTTTACAAAGCATACTCTTTTCAAAGATGTTTGTTTGTGGAGAACCCATTGAACAGCAAATAGAAGACAGTACATTGACCTGCCTGGTCCTACCTGCAAAAAATATCTACTTGCCTCATATCAACTTGCTAGCCCAAGTCAAAATGAAAATCGGTAAGAATAATACAAGTCATTATTATTTTTTTTGTTTTCATTAATTTCCATTCATATTTTATGCTACAGCAGATAAACTGATGCGTTAGAAGTGAATGTAGTAAATCAATTGTGTTCATTATACAAATGTAATATTTGGAAACCCAGCAGTAGATGTCTATTTGGCTCCATGCAATGTGTAGAAGCAAGATACAATTCTTACAGGAACTATAATCAACAAAGGCTTAAATATTAATGTTATAGGTTGATGAAACTAATGGGAACTTCAGGGGTTTTTTTTAAGTGGCGGTTAACAATACTTCAACTTCTCAACTAAGCATTCATTCTCTGAAAACTTCCTGATATGTTCCATCTCTCTAGAAGCAGTTAGGTAGAAACTAACGATATCAAAACGTATGGAATAATAGTAATAATTCTCTATCCCAATAAAATAAGTAGTGTCAGTTATTGTTGTCACCTTTTAATTTTACAACTTATCTATACAACTTTTCTTTATACAGGAACTTGGAAATATACAGAATAATAACAAAATAAACTTTCAGGTCTGAAATTTATTGCTGTATAGGAGTCTTCTGCAAGACTTCATTTGCTATATATCTGACTAGAAAATCTTGAAATCACTTACAGCACTTTGGTTCATATTGTGAAGCAGGCTCAGAGTGCTCTGGATTATTTTTTGGGAAGATACGCTCCAGGAGCACATCAATGCACCCCAACCACTACTTTGTATTCAGCCCTTAGGACTAGAATAGAGGTAGTTCAAAGTAAACACTCTGAAATGCATCTGCTGTGTCTGTCAGGTCATCGACACCAGCTGGATCTACCAGTGGATCTAGAGATCTAGACATCCACTCTTACTGTGCTTTACTGCTTGTCAGTGCAGGCAGAGCTGGACTTGCTCATAGTAATCATAGAATCATAGAAACATCAAGGCTGGAAAGGACCTTAAGATCATCAAGGCCAACCTACAGCCCTACACCACCCTAACACTAAACCATTTCCTGAAGTGCCACATCCAGCCATCTTTTAAACATGTCCAGGGATGGTGACTCCACCACCTCCCTCAGCAACCCATTCCAATGCTTCACCCCCCTTTCAGTGAAGAAGTTTATCCTAAATGGCCTTGTTTGACCAGTTCCTGCTTCTGAATCCACATTTTTAGGAAGAGCCTAGGAATACAGATGAGTATTGGGAGTATGAATATAAGAGGTACACAATACATCAAGGAAGCCTTTAGAAGTGGTTAGTACAAAAGGAATTTGGGAATTTGGAAATGCCTAGAGAGATTTAGGTTTTGACTCCAACTACCAGATGAAATAAAATTATGAAAATGCTTACTGCTAATCTTTCCAGACAGTTTGTGAAAGGGTTAATTTGTGTAGCTTGACCTTCTTTTGGATGGCCTAAGTAAACATCAATGACGTCAGAAAATAATGAAACAACATTATAGTTCTGTATTTATATCCATTAATAACTCAGATTTTTTTAGAATTGGATAGGAACTGTAAATATATAATAGCATTGGTTCTAAGGAAGTTGCTTCTTTTTTGGCATAAATTATTTTTCTACTAAACACTAAGAACTGTATTATATTCTTTTTCCATAGGACAGACATTAGCTGAGAAAATAGCTCATACACCTGCAAGAGGAGATCCACAGCAATGGCTACATGCTCTCAAACACTTAGAATCTGCATTGAAGCTTTGCAGAGCCTCTGCAACAAAAAAATTAGACATGGAAGCCGAACTTCTTTATCAGATAGGTAAATTAAACCCTGTTTGTACATCATAATTACCTTCCTAGGCAATGTTATGTACATGGCCTCTCTTAAAAGGGAGACATTTTATTGTAAACATGGAACAGATTTGGATATTTCTCTGCTTGTCTATCTGCAGATGTTTAGTGTCACACTAGCATAGTTCAGGATGCATTATGCAACAAAAAATTCCAAAACCACAGTAGTACTTCTCCTACCTCTATGTTATCAGGGACCAAAGGGCATAGCCAATGTGTTAAGGACACTGTAGAAAGCTAATTAGCTTCTTTGCATCAGTCCAGACTAAAGAAGCTGAGAGGATCAGAAAGTATTTCTAAATGATTTAGCAGAGCTAATGAATTTACACAGGATTTGCATGCATTTGGATTTTAGTGGCATGTTTTGTGCTGAAAGGTATTGGTTTGTTAGGATCCCAGTCAGAAAGGCACTCAAGACTTTGTAAAGTATCTCTTAAAATGCTGTTTATTGGTGTTAACTCTATGAAGAAAACATGGATAGCGTAAATAATCTTAACGTCCCTTTAGATGCTGAGAACCCCAAGTTGTGCAGTGTTGAACGTGCCTGCAGTCAGGGTGTAGCACAACACACAGATCCTGACTGTGGAAAGGTTGCCTCATTTTGGTCTTTTGAGCTGTTAGAGGATTATCTTAAAAGAAACCAATTCTATTCATTTCTGCTGTCAAACAAAAGCATATCACGTAAGAACTTCTGGCTTCTCTTTTGTGGAAGGGGCAGGTGGTGTGATCACTGGGACTGAGAAGATGCTGCCAGCAGGCACCTCTTATTATAGCTGTGGCTGAGGGGTGTGCACAGCACAACACGGGCCCAAAGACCACGCTGTACGTGCAGCACAGCGCGAAGCTGGCCTGGGCCTGTGTGTATTAAGTTGTCTGTGTACAATGGTCTTCTAGTGCAGATCACTACACATTAGCAGTCATTATGATATCAAAGTTTGATTAATTTAGCTACTCCCTGATTTGCTATATAAGCACTGTGCATTATGTTTTGAACAAACTGGAGAAGATTGTGCCTATCAGGAAGAGAACAGGTAGCGCACTGCGTTCAGATTTCCTAGAGGGAAAAACAGAAGGTCTTAGAGAAAAGAAAAAAAAAAAAATGTCTTGCAAATATGCTTTCTGTATTTCTTTCTTAGGTATGGTGGAACGCCAGATAGCTGAAGCAGGCAATAACAAGTCATCTCAAGCTGTTGAACACCTATTGGAGGCTATAAAAGTTAGCCAGAAACTTGATCAAAACTTTGAGTAAGAAACTACCTGTCCAACTTTCAAAATAATTTTAATCACACATGTACATAGTTCTTTGACAGTTTTCTGAGATTTGGTGTGGGACTTATATTATGAATAATCTTTTATGTTTTGGAGAGTTTTCTTCTATTGCAGTATAGAAGAGCTACTGTGTATTTATTCTCTTATTTAAAACAAATGCTGAGAACATTTCAAAGCATATTTTAGAGTATATAAAGTTACAGCTTTTTGTTCTGCTTCCAAATTTGTAGCCTCTCTGTCAACACCAGGAACAGAGCTATCAATTAAATAGGGGCTTTATTCACATTTCAGAATATAAGCTTTGGTCTGCCCCCTTCTAGATAGTAGAAATCCAGCTTGAAAAGGTTAGCAGCCAGAAACAGTCAGAAAAACAGAGGCAGAAGGAGCACAGGAAATGTGTTTGTAACAGATATCGGGACAGTGACTTTGGCATTAGTTAACAGCATAGAAGATGCCTGAAGAGCTGAGGCAAGTGAGCCAATAAATTCTGTCAAGCAACTCTGATATATTGGACTTCAGTTTTGGGGGTTTTTTTAAGTTTCTTGACCAGTCTTAATGAACGATGTGCCATGTCTGGTTAAAGACAGTGTAAAGGCAGCAATTTACCTTGCTTGTTTGGATATTCTGTTACTCAAGTTAATGAACCAGAACTCTGAACACAGAAACAGTAGCATAATAATAAACGTCTACAAGGAGTCAGCATAATGGGAGGTAGTACAGAAATGGACTCTGGTGATGTTTTGCAAGTTTAATTTGCTACACTTATTTAATTCGCTACTGTCTTTCTAAAAGAATGTACAGCAACATTGATGGACCTTGGCTTTCTTATTTTAGAGAACTAAACATCCCAATCACCTTTATAAAAGCCCTGAGATATCTATGGGATTGTTAAATTAACTTTGTTTCTTAATGTCACAAATCCTTTTTTGTTAGCAAGACTAGAAGGTAAATTTAATTGTCACTAAGTGCAGAACTTGTCATCTTCCCACTTAGTTTGCCCTATCCTGAATTGTACAGCACTGTGACTTTTGTATTTTGCTTTACATAAATCATAATAAAGCTTGAATTTACTGTACTGTATAACCAGCAAACTCTGCAATATGACTCTGTCCAGAATAGTAATTACATGAGCAGGAGTTTGTTTCTGTGCTTAGGAAAGTTAATTCTTAGGGGAGACCTGGAGAGATCTACAGAGCCAGGAAGAACCTTCTTAAAAAGCTGTTATAAACCTACAGGGAATAGAGATGTTGAAGATCTCCAGATATAGTGATTTTCACCAGGTCAAGGGAAGTAATTGAGACTCTCTGCTCTGCTCTGATGAGACCCGACCTGGAGTAGTACTGTGTCCAGCTCTGGAGTCCTCAGCACAGGAAAGACCTGGACCTGGGGGTTGGACTAGATGATCTTTTGAGGTCCCTTCCAGCCCCTAACATTCTGTCATTCCTAACATTCTGTGATTCTGATAGAGTGGGTCAAGAGGAGCACCACGAAAATGGTCAGAAGGATGGAACACCTGTCTTATAAGAAAGGCTGAGAATGCTGGGATTGTTTAGCCTGGAGAAGAGAAGGCTTTGGGGAGACCTTATTGTGACCTTTCAATACTTAAAGGGGGCTTATAAGAAAGATGAAGCTTTTCATTAGTAGAGATTGTAGTGGTAGCACAAGGGGTAATGGTTTTAAACTAGAAGACGGTAAGTTCAGGCTAGATAGATGGAAGAAATTTTTTACAGTGAGAGTGGTGAAACAGAAGAATAGGTTGCCCAGAGAGATGGTAGATGCCCTGTACCTGGAAACATTCAAGATCGGATTGGACAGGGCTCTGAGGAAGCTGACCTAGTTGAAGCTGCCCTTGCTTATCACAGGGGAGTTGGGCTGGATGACCTCTAAGGCTCCCTTCTAACCCAAGCCATTCTATGATTTTTGTCTGGTCTATGACATTACCGTAAAAATAACTGAAATGAGAACAAAATATAAGAAGAGAACAGGAAATGGTGAGCAGAGTCTGTATGAAGATGTGGAGTATTCTGGTACAGAACTCAGAAGGTTCCTCAGCTGAGCCCAGTCAAGAAATGGAAGACTATTTTTGGTCATTGTGGGTATTTTTCTGATTCTTGGAAGAGTGTGACTGAACATCCATATCCAAATTCAGCCACCCATGTTTCAGGGAAACCAGGACAGTGGATATATGTCTTAACTTGAGGAAGGAGGAAGAACCTATTCAGAAGAAGTTTGAAATTTATTTATGGAATATTTGTTGCACATAATGCAAGTTATATTTTGCATACTCTTAAATAATTGTGTTATTTGTTAAGCGTGCCATAGGGATGTTTTAGACTCCCTAGGACTTTAAAACAGGATCGTATGGCTTTCTGAAAGAAGATACTCTTAGTGTAGATGGTGAGGGCTGGATGAATGATTTATTGGTGAGACAGTCTGGCTAGGCTCCCACAGGAGTCAGATTGTATCACTGTAATGCTTGCTTTGATAGCAACAGCGACTGATCTGTGTGTTGTTTCTTACAGGTTAATAAGAAGATCGTACCTTGAAATAGCACTATTATATTTACATTTTGCCGCAAATAATGAGGATGTCTCACAAACAGATAACATAGTGCTTTCCAAATCAAACGTATGTTTTCTATCTTCTGGGTAATGATGTCTTTAAAGTGGGACATATATTTCTGTTAGAACACTCTGCATCCTACCAGACTATTACTTATAGTGACTTATAAGTCATAATGATACTGAAAATCCTACTAGAGAAATCACACAAAGAAATTATATACTACAGCTGTAGATTTTTATGTTGTTTGATGTTATTTCTCATTTTTATTGCACCGAATGATAACATTTAAAATAGTTTTCGGTATAAAATAGGGAGAAACAGAACCAACAGTTCTGTTATTATTAGTAATTAAATTGTACCTTGCAAAGAAAACATAATGTTCAAATATGTTTACTTGCTAATACTTATACGTTATAAGATTTCAATTTTTCAGTACGAATATGAGTGACAGCATGAGAAATATGAAAGGCTTTAACCACGTTGAAGTGGCTACAAGCCATGCATTCAAAACATAATGTGTAACATGAAAGAGGTAGTTAAATTAAAAAAAATGGAGAATTATAGCAAAACTGTTTGCAGTAGTGACCGCATTATGAGCTGCTCTGAGAAAATTTTTACAGGAATAGCCAACTAGTGTGCTCTGGATAATTTTTTTTTCAGTTTCAGCAATTAATCAATGGATTTACAATCAATGCTGATTTTTACAACTTGTAAATAAAACAGTAATTCTTTAAGTAGGAGGACTTTTATCTGTATGTAAAATATATTTTGCCATAATACATTTAGAATCCTAATTACAAACGGGTATTTTCATTCTAGACCACTTCTGGAGAACTCTCTTCTGAGCAGGCTCCGAAATCAGAAGGCTACAAAGCACAAGCCTGGATTGCAGTAAGAGCAGCTACACAGGTTGGTGCAATATTCTGGAGAGGGTTTTTTTTTATTTTTTATTTAAAATTCGTCTTATGCCACTTACACAAGCAAAGAAGAAAATGTAAACAACACAAGAATTAAGGTATCCTGAAATTTCTGGCATAGGTCTTATTTGAAGAAATTAAAATGGACACTGTCTGAGTAGTGCATTTAATCTCTCTGGGACAGACCTGACTCTGTTTACCTCAGCATTGATTCAGTGCAAATAAAACAGCACATTGCCTGATATGTGTGCGTATGTATTTGACATGTGGGTAGACATCAGTGGCATCCAGGTGAGGATATCTCATTTGAAATCACTTATGTAGTAATTAAGCTGTCAGCAGTAATGATTTATTTACGTAAAGTATGTACCATATGTCAGAGAGAAATAGGGTATTTTCCTCACTTTTAAGGATATAGTATGTTGAGTAATTAATTTTTGTCATCATCTTGCTACTCTCAGATTTTAAAATTAGGTAAATATTGTGGTGAACTGGTTCTGAATAAGATAAATATTATTTTTAGGTCAGTGAATCTGTGATTGCTTCTCAGCTATTAATTGGAGTGAAGAGTGTTAAAGAGCACAGCATGAAGGATGCAGTTCAACAGAAAATCCCACCATTTGCTTCCATGGATCTTCTTGCTTCGTACAGAGTTTTCTTATCCGGTATTCCTTTATACCTAGTAATATTAAAACATTAAATAGCTAATAAGCTAGTAACATATTTTCATTTATGAAAAAATATAAGTAAAATATGGAAAGTAAAAGCAAAATACTCATCCTGCATAGCAATACAAAATATTGTATAAGTCTAATTGGTATTTAAATATCAGCCTGTGCATGTGTTCAACAGGTTAAGAAAATCGGCATTGTTTGCCTACTGTGGCTCAGAAAGACAGAGCGCATATACTGCCATACTTTTAGAAAAACAGATGCACCTTTGCTACAGGACTTCCACAGACTTCTAGAGCAGATCTTGGGCCCCCCGTCAGTCACCATTGCTTGTGTCTCCCTGCCCCACCTCTCCAAAAAAAACCCCAAATCCCAAAACCAACAAGCCCGAACTCTTGCAAAGTTATCTGCCTGAGTACTATATTCTAAAAGCCAAAGTCAATATAATAAAAAATTTTCACTGCCTTTCCAGTCCAATGGATTATTGTCTAGAGATGCTTCCATTAGCTTGGTAGAATTTTGCCTTTGCCTGGTTTATTTTCAACTTCTGCATTATTTTACAGTGAATGGAGTTGATGAAATGGAAGCTTTTGATTAAAAAAATCAGTGAAACTAGGAACTCTAGGATAATGGTGCCAGACATTACATAAATACTAAGCCAAAATATTTATATTTATTTTTAAACTGGGAGCTATTAGTTTAGTGATGAAATTTCAGTTCAGTGACTTAATTTCAATCATCCCAAGTGACTGACAAAGATTGAATTGCTCTGCCTGATAGTTGCTGGCAAAGCTGAGCAAAGCCTGCTTACTGCACAGTGTTTAAACATATGTGGTTTGATTGGTTTATGAAAACAAGTGTTGTGTGCTAAGACTTTCCATCAATCTGATTGTTTTGTACTAGCTCCATTTGCTTATAATTACAGATCATTTTTTTCTTTTAGCAAACGCAGCAGGTGTTTCTCCTGATAGTTCTGTTAGGTAATACAAAGAATAAAAGAAAATATAGAAAAGCAATAGTAGACTGAAATGTATGAAGATAAATTGAAATGGAAATGATTGGCGCAGCATGCTAAATATTTTCTGTAAAACCATTAGTGAAATACATTGTTTAAGTTTCATCTATAAACAATATGGCCATTTTAACTAAATTCTGGTTTTACAGTTGACAACAAAGTATCAGGATTAATGGAAACACTCAGATTTTGTAGAAGTACATATAATTATTTTTTTGAAGCTTATTATTAGGAATGGCTGTATCATGTTTGTTGAATTTGGAATGAGAACCAGAGCAGAAGAGTTATGTAGGCTTTTGAGAGTGCCATGTACTAATACAGTAAAAAAACCCCACCTAAATATAAGCAGTGATATAATGATAACTGTACTGATACTTTCTTTTCCTTTTTTTGTATAAATATAACATTTAGGCAGCACCAAAAGAAGATTTTTTTAGTCCATAGTCAATAACATAATTCCTTGAGAATGTCCTTAATATTTAAAAGGGCCTGTGATAGGACTAGAGGGAATGGATTAAAGCTTGAGATGGATCGGTTCAGATTGGACGTTAGGAAGAAGTTCTTCCCCATGAGGGTGGTGAGACACTGGCACAGGTTGCCCAGAGAGGGGGTGGAAGCCCCATCCCTGGAAGTTTTTCAGGCCAGGCTGGATGGGGCTCTGAGCAGCCTGATCTAGTGGGGGATGTCCCTGCCCATGGCAGGGGGTTGGAACTAGGTGATCTCTAAGGTCCCTTCGAACTCTGACAATTCTATGGTTTTTGATTCTATGACTGAAGCTGATAATAAACGTTTCAGGGTAACTAACTCTTCCGAGTTCAAGTCAATATAACTTTGAAATTCAACTGCTGTAGTTATGACTGTTTACTGCTAGTATTGTTTACCTTTAGTAAATATCTTCTATTGAACAATGTGTAGAAATACTTGTTTTATTTGAAAGAGAGAGAGAGCATCTTGCTCTGTACCTCTGTTAGCTTCCGGCAAGGCTTAGTCATGATCTGAGAAATATTTTCTTTACTAGTTCAACTAATGTTACAACAGAATACAAAGAATTTTGTGTTTGTGAAAAATGTAACCAGGTTCACAAGTTACATTTTTACTTACCGATTAGTCAGTTCCAATGCAATGGATAAGTAACTTGTGCATTGCAACCATTCACTTAACGCCTATTGTTGAACTGTTATTGGATTTGCAGATGGATACAATGTTGTCTCTGAAAGTCCCAAAGTATCTTCTGCTGAAAACAAACAAATCAGTCAAGGCAAGCAGAGCCAAAATGAAGAAACAGAAAGTCTTGCCACCGATGCCAGCCTGAAGAAAGAAACAATAACATGGGTTCACTTAATTCGCTACCACAGCGATTTAAAAAGACTTTACAAAACAAACCTATATGGTATGAATTTTTTCTTCCTTCTAGAAAACTGCCATAGGTGAGATACTGTTCTTGGGGGCTAACAGGGTCAGCCTCGAAGGCTGTTATCTGAGGTAGTCTCACTTTGAGTTCCTTTAAATTGTATAAATTCACTGAAATCAAGATTTGTGTCAGTTTACAAGTGTTTGAAGTGAAGGTATGATTACATTTTTTTCATAATTATTCATAAGCCTTCATGATATCAGGAAAAGCATCCCTCAGAACTTAATTGCTATTACTATATCAGAAACATTTTTTAAAAATTCATAATCTGTATTTAATTTCAGTTCTAGATACATCAGACTTAAGTCATATCAGAAATAAATCTGTTCAGTTTGGGGGCCTGTTTGCGAGAACTGAGTGCAGTGTACATGGGAAGGCTGAGCAGTATTGTGTGTGCTTTGACTAAAACTCCAGGCGTTATGTACATACCAGGTTTATTTCACTGTAAACCAAAATGCTGATAGATAGCACCTTTGGAACAGAGTAAGAGTCCATTAATTTCAGGGCTGTAATACTATGCATCTACATCTGATGGCCAGCTGCTGGATATACAAGTGATCACCTGATAGGTGAGAACAGAACTAGGCTGTACATGTAGGTCCTGCCTAGAGAGAAACCTAGCAACTCTGGAAAAAATAATTTCAGAGCTGGCTGAGTTTTTTCCTCGTGGCAGCAAAAGAAAGGTAAGTATTCTGCCTCACCATGAAGCTATAAGGATAGTAGAGTATCTACAAGTAAGGTGTCAAAATGTGCACCTATATCTCAGCTGTAGTTACCAGTGATGGAGCCTCGGGAGTGACTCAGCTGCTCAGCCACTTGCTGTATAAATTAGGGCCTTAATAGCTTTTAGAGCTTCTTTGGACTGCATTGAAAAAATATGTGTTTATTCTAGTGGGTGCTTAGACATCTAGCAAACACACTGATGCTTACGCACCTCAGTTAAGTACCGAAACCTCAAACCCACACCTCCCATTTTGTACTACTTTATAATGTCCAGACACAGCTTGTTTCATTTCCATGTTTCCAGTGAAAAATTGCAGAACAAATAGCATAACCTAGTAACATATAAGGACAAGCAGTATAATTGTTGGAAATACATTTATTTGATATTGAATTGATTTACATATTTTAATCTCTTTTCAAAATTTGTTAATAATGAATAGCTGTAGAAACTTTACTTCTTAACAGCAAATGATGATATAATAAAAATCTCTTTTCAAAGCTTCCTCTGACGCAGGACTTGGATCATTTTCTGCAAGAGATGGACACCTTAGTTCTGTTTTTGACACAGGGACTATTCTACGCATAGCAGAAATGCATTCCTTCCTTAAAGAACATTTGTTTGAATATTCAATGTGTTGTCTGGAGAATTTCCCGGAAGAGCTACATGATGTGGGTACTTGTTTTCTTTCTGATGTTTCAAAAATATGTATTATACTTGCATTCTTCTCAGATTCTTGCTAGTTCCAATATCCAGTGATATTTCTGAGAGCACGACAGAAGAATGAAATTCATAAGGCAGAGGATCAGTGCACAACCTAAATCCTGTGCAAGCAGTAAAGGACATAGTTAACAAATGCAATATCACTGTGTTATTCATTCCTGCAAAAATTATCTCTGTCCCATGCCCAGTGTATTTTGACCCTAAAAGATTAAGCAGCATGATATTTATGAAAGTTTTATTAATAATTAATTAAGTTGGTTGGTTTTTTTGGTAGGACTGAGGCTTTTAATCTTGTAGATCTCCATGTTTCATGCCAAAAATGCCCTGATGTTTGCTTTGTAATTCGTACATACAAGCTTCTGCATTGTTAATTTGGTCCATAATAGGAACATGATTTTCCAAAACCATAAAATTTATATTTTCTCAAAATTTTTTGAAGGCCTTGTGTGCCAATTTTTTTTTTGCTGATTATGAGCTGGCTGTAAAATCAATCTTTTCAGATCCCTGGCTTGCAACAGCCTATATGAGCTTTCAGATGTAGACAGCTCAGACCATATTACTCAGGGAAATATCGAATTAGAATTCTGTAGTCTACACTGACCATGGCACAGGTATTGAATATTGAATGTTAAAAGACTTTGAAGATTCAATGTAAAAATAATTGCCTTCAAAGTATCTTCATCCTACTTTTCACATTAATAATTATCACAATACTAAAAAATTAAAATGACAGGTTACTCTCTATGGTTTATTTTTTACCTGTTATGTTCAGTATTAGATGGAGACAGGGGAGCCTTGAGGAGTGAGAACTTGTTATCCTATAAAAATGGATTAAAGTACTTTTGTGAAAGTAGCTTTTCTAGAGTTGGTGAACTTTCTGCAGTGTTGGACAGCATATCATTACTCATTTCCCAACAAAGAGCTGACTGTGCCACTGAATAAATTGTAAATATATGGTATGTGACATTTATAACAGCCATCGTATATCAAAAAATATTTTACTCTGTCTGCTCTTTTTTTGACATAATTAGTATTACACTGTCCTAGAATAATAAGCTTCAGAGCTTACTGTCATGTTCATGACAGGTGCAAGCTGCATAATCATGTGTTAGATTCACTGTTGTAGACAGCTAACAAGCATAAAGCTCTTACTTCTTTTCATTCTAAGCTTCACTGATTTTTATCACAATATTTTTAGAGCCTTTAACTATTCAGAAGGCTGTATAAGTTATTTTTAAAATGTTACTGTAATTTGATACTGGGATTTTTAACAGTACAAACAGATAAAATTTTTGAAAAATTATTTTCTGAAAGAAGAGTGAAAGCAAGCTTGTTTTGCTTACATGTGTCCTTGTACTTCTGGTTTTTGACTCAAAGTTTTTTTTCAGCTCTGCTCAACAAAGAATCCAAATTACATTAAGTACGCTATAATTAAATTGTGCACCTTGTTGCATTTCCATGCTTGTTTTTCACTCCATGGTACTATGTAGGACTGGAAGCACTTAATGAAGACGGTCTGTTGTTTTCCGGCTTCTGAGAAAGTTGAATAGATAAATATTTATGTACATAATACAGCAACTCTCCAGTTTGACAAGAGCAATTGTAATATCTCTCCTCAAAAAGATTCAATATGATGTAAATAACAAAAGATGCGGTTCAGTGAAGAAGAAAACATACCCAATGTTTTAGAAAGAAAGATGTATTGCAAAATGGACTTTTAAGAGCTCTCGTTCACGGACATGGCATAAATTTGGTTGTTCCTACCTCCGCATGTGTGTTGTCTCAGAATTTTGTTCACATGCCGTGCTAGCAGGAGAGCGGGTGATTCATTGCCAAACTTCAGATCCTGAGCACAGAAGATGCTTGTAGTAGGTGGATGATCCACGCACACCTCACGGCACGCTAGGGCTTGTGGCTGCTCAGCCTCAGCGCTCTCAGTCTCAGTGGCAGGGATCATCTTCACCTCCACTATATTGTGATGTGGGGTAGCAACTGGCTTTAGGAAGTAAGATTATGTCGCTGGGAAAAATCCATCTTCTGCTCACCTGGATTTACTGTCCTGGGGCAGTCGCGAGCTGTACTTCCTGAAAACAATATGGGTAAAATCCTCCAGTATTTTTTTCAGCAATGAACATTCAGAACTGCTGTTTTCAGTGTCTGCATTTTGGAACCAATGATGGAGACACTAATAGCCTTTTCAAATAGCTTCAGCGTTCCCCCCAAATTTCACTCTTGGGCCTCTGTTCTTTGCAGATCTGCGTAAGGCTTTAAAAAGTAGAAACGGTATGGCACTGTTCAGCCATTCAATCTAATATTTTACAATTTTAAGAAAAGCTTTTATTCCTGAGTAAATGTTCATTAACAGTTTTCTTCCATTACTTCCCTTGTAAATGACAGCTAAACAATGACTATTTGATGAGTAGCCAGCTAATGTTCCATATAGATTTTAGCAAATTTTTCAGAGGACAAATCCACACAAATGAAGTGACTGAATTTTCAGTAGGTATCACCCTTTGTTAGTTGCATAGCTAATGAGAAAACATTAGTTAAATATAATATATAAATATTAGGTAAATA